GGGTTCCATGGCTGGGCAGGCAGACGCCTGCCTTGTGAAAAACCGTTATTACCCCATTTCTTCATTCTTCTTGACTAAGCTCGATAGCAGTGGACATCAAAGAAAGAAGATGAGAATAAAAACATAACTGTTTATAACTTTTCAGAAAGAGGCAAGGACTTTGACACACAAAAGACACGGAGCGCCCCACGCCAGCTGCAGAAAAAGTGCTTCTTCAAAGACGACATCTCCTCCAGCCTCCAGGAACGCACCCTCAACAGGGTATGCCCGTCCCAGGGTGAAGGGACTACAAAAAAAAGCAAACATGCTTTTAAAAAGGTAGAATTAAATGACTGCGCTAAGATGCAAAGCATTTCCTGTTGTAAGCTTTACCTGAGAGACTAGTGCCATTTTGAAAAAGGCTCAGTCTGAAGAGAAACCTTCTACCTTCTCTAGTACAACACAAAATTCACAAGAAACGAATTTAAAAAGTGGACAATAATTCATTAGCAACTGTGATTTGTAGGGACTATGATAACTATACTAGCTTTCGGAACGGCGGAGCAGTGGCAATCAAAGGACAGAATCTGAACCTCACGCCACTACCTGCTTTTTGCAAACTACACAGCTTCTCTGCATACATCAGAACGCATGCTTTCTTGGCCCTTGTCAGTATAGAAATGGTGACCGAAGACCACCTTTTTTAGTTACTCAAATTCTTCCATTTGCACTTGTCACATAATCTTGCTGTGCTGCTCGTGCTTCCCTTCCCAGTAAGCCTCTCCTTGCCAGACAACTGAACAAGCACGAACAAGAAGGGGGGGTCCTGGTTTGCTAGCATTTATTTTGACACATTACTAACTGCCCAAGCACACCCACTCCCAGGTGTTTTTTCTTCTCTAGCAGAGGGTTCTTCACAACTAATTTGAAGTATTTGTACCACTGAAAAAAACTTCTTCATTTCTCTAATCTCTGCGCACGCCTTTCTCAGGCATTTTGGAGCTTTAGGACTCTGTTTGTGGTTGTAGCAGCGAAAGGCTGTTCCAGTTCACGGCTGGTTTTGGTGGCCTGCCTCCCTCTTTTAAGGGTGCTTGAAAAGCAAAATGGATCACAGCTTTTAAACAGCATCAGCGTGGCAGAACTGCGCAACAGACACAAGGAAACTGTTCCAAGAGGTCATCTAGTCTATAGACAGAAACCTACGGCAGACGCCAGAGGACATGCATGTGGACATATTTTGATCTACATGCACTTCAGAACTGGAAGCCATGCCATCTTAGGAGAGGGACCTGTGCGAGCTCCTGGCTTAACTACAGACCTCACAGCAGTTGACAAGGTTGTCAGCATCTGGCCTGCTTGGGAAGTAGCATCTCCCAGTTCTCAAATTTCTGCTCTGTTTCAGGAAATAAAAAATACAGCTTGGTACCATCACCTTGAAAGTGCTGCCGATCCCTGGTCTAGATTTTTGTCCCCCACGGCAGGATCAGTTGTACCTAAGCCACTCTGGTCACACCATTGTCCAGTTTGTTCTTTGTCTCCAGGAATCAGATTTTTATAGTCTCAACTGTCCTTACTGTCGGTAAGTTTTTCCCACCCAGCAGTGGTCATTACTCCACAGGGGCGGTGTAGAAAGCCAAAGCTGCACGCCTCCTGGGCTGCTAAGTGAAGCTGGTGGAGGCATGCCTTTCTCTTTAGGGTGGGGTGGGCCACACATCTCCCAGCCCTTAGGACATCTTGGGCTCTTCCGTCTCGCCTCACTGGTTTTGTTGGCTCCTTCGTTGTCGGGTCATCTTAATAGTGGATGGCTGGTACTTCCAAGCTCCTTCCAAGCTACTGCTGTTTCCCACAAAGATGTGAATGCTGTGAGCGTGGCTTGCCTGCTGTCACTCAGGGGTCTGATTTCCTCCACCTTTGGCACTACCCACGTCCTGGAGCACTGCCAGGACTGCTTACAGAGCGGAACTACAGATTCCTTCCCCAGACAAACCCCATGAGTGCTTTTGTGGTTATGTTGTTCTGGGTTCTCTCCAACAAGCAGCGAGACCACGTGAGGTTTCTCACACCCTCCATCAAGCATCATCATACAGCCCTACTCTGTCATGCTAGCACCCCGACACGCCTCTCTGCCCACAAAGCGGAGGATGTCCAACTGGAAAACCAGTAAAATACAAGGTATTGTGACACTGCTTTCTCTTCATCTTTGAGATGAATGAAATAGGAATTCTTACAGCTTTTTAAAAAGCTATGTAGCCCCATGGACTAGGCCACCATGACAGCATTCCTTGAGCTGTCCTAGACACATGTCAGTCACAATTGCAAGAACCAACCTCACAGGTCCCACTAGGTATCTTCCCACTGAGGAACTGAAGCGGCCTGCCCTATAAGGCATGAGCCGTAAGTAGGGCGGTTGTGGGTCCATGTGTACCAGTCTGACCCTGGGGAGAGGGAAACGACTCACAAAGTATACAGCATAGCCCACACTACCAACCAGCTTTTAAACTGTTTTGGTTCCTTGACCCTGACAGAGATCAATGACCAAAGGGAGCAATTAAGGGGTAAATGCAAGAACTCAGATTTTCAGAGAGAAAGGCACACAAAACAAGCAACCAGTTACACCCACCTCCGAAACAAACCAACCAAAAAAACCACCCCAATCCCAACACAGATCTGCTGAACGAGGTGCTACTCAAGAACAGAGCCGACCCTCCCTTTCCACTCCCCTAAGCTCAGTTTCACCACAGAAATATCCTCTCATCGCTTACAAAGTTTCTGCCCTGTATCAACTCTTCTGTATTCAAATAATGCTGATCATTACATGAATGAGACGGAACCTCAACAAAGAGGCACAGAACATTGATACTCAGATGATGCTCCTATTTCTCTGTCCCCAGTTCTCCTAAAGCCTGGCCAAGTCACAACTGAATCAAAAATTATTTGGGAAAGAAGTGACAGAGATGAGGCAACCAGTAAGGTATCCAGATGCCTGCTTTCCTTTTTGGACACGGTACCAAAAGGACTCTTCACCCAACTCCTTTAAAGGGTAATCAGGAAAATATTTCCTCTCTTTTAAGAGACACAAACCATCAGTATTTCCTACTCTCCCAACTGAAATTTTCCAGAGAAGTACAAGTAGCCACAGCAATTTATTTAGACAAAGTTTTACTCAGCACAGCTGTAATACTTTAATTATATAATAGTTTCAAGGGCTAACTAAGAGACATAATGGAAACCATACAGAGGTCTCTACCACGGTCTCTCACAGATATTCTTTTTTCCCCTGAAAGGCAGGTGGTAAACTACATGTGAAATAAGCACCTTTCAAAACCAAAATGAGGCATTCAGGAGAGAAGCTTGTATTTCAAGCAGAAACTATGAGCTAGGTCAGTGGACAGAGTACGATTTCTCTCCCTAGTGCAGTTAAGAAACAAATGATTTTAGTGAGGCACCTGAAAAAGAGTAAAAGGTCTGAGCTAGTAGATTGTTAAACGGTATCATAAAACTTCTGAATTGTTTCTGTATTTGGAATACAAAATATTGAAATACACCAACAAATCAGTTTCAAGTTTCTCTTCTGTTACAGATTCGTTTTACAAAAAAATTATTTTATTTATAGGCCAGCTTTTTCCTCCGCATTTGTCACTGTTCCTCAATAACTTTTCAAACCATTCAAGGTGAACTGGAATTGCCATACATTCCTGCAACCTTTATGAAGCAACAGTGCCTGGAGAGAAAGCCCCAAATCCACTGAGAAAGAACCCAAATATGATGAACCCCACCCCGTCCTAACAATTGGAATACACTCCAGACTCGTCCATGCTGCATTTTGACAAGCCCAGCAGATGTCGGAGAAAACATGGGAGGAAACTGAGGCTACTATGGCAGAGAAAAGGGGTATAAAGCACACAAATCCATCCAAAGCTTCATTTTGGTACCTGGAGGACAGCTTTCATTTTACTTATCAATTTAAACCTATGCAACATGCCTTTTTCTAACCATTTTGTGGGTATCAAAGTTATCTCAGACGACAGTATAATACTGACCTAAAGTGTTGATACATCTTTAATGGTACCGTTTTTAGCAGATAAACCTCAAGATGATTTTTAAATTGTCAGACTAGACTACAGTCTATGAGTAAGCTTTCTCTATGATGCTTAAACAGTGGGCTTTTACAAGACTTATCCCGCCACCTATAACATTTTAAAGAACAAAATGTTACATTTACACTTACATTTAAGATCACGTTCAAAGCAGTTTTTTTAAAATATCATGATATTTTGAAGAGACTAACAGTTTATTCAATGTAAATGCAATGTATAAAGTTGTGGAGTTCCAGATACATATCCAGTCTGCCATTTCTAGTTTTGTGCAAATTAACTTACTTAAAATAATTTCAAATCTAGCATAGTGTCAAGTAACATCCAAACTCCAGAGTTCCAGAACTGATGTTTCTCACGTTTGCTTGAAATTAGACTTCCCAGTTTTACTAAATTTATTTTTGATTTAAAACAAAGAAAAAAAACCTGTAAACAGTTACTGTAACAGCAGTTAGCAACAAGAATGGGTGACAACTGTCAGCCTTCAAATATAACTTATGCCCTTTCTTACCGTCAACTTTTTGTCAAATATGTAAATAAATACAAGAACTAACACAAATAAAAGTTACTACTGTAAGAAAAAATATTATATGCTGCAATTTGGAATAAAATATCATACAATATCAGCTGCATCATTTGGAATATGTATTTGAGTGCTTAAAACAGTTTGATGCTAAACAGTTAAACCTTTCTTTGTGTAGAGAACCACACTTTTATTCACCGTTAGAAATGGGTTTTGTGATTAATTTTATACTAGAATATTAAACTCCTAAATGTGAAAATGACTTAAGTCATTAAGTGAAAGAAGATACCATAGGCACCATAATATATATTTTTTTTCTTTTTAAACAAAATCTGGTGATGAACCAGCAGTAACAAAATAGGATGAAAATTAAAAGGCACATTCAGGCAAAAAGTAATCAACACAGTTTGCATGATGCTATATTTAAAAAAAAATAATTTATGCTCTGAATAACTGATTGGATCAGAAATAAATATTCTGGCAGATTCTAACCTGTCAGAGAGACAGTAAATTTTTGTAAAAGGTGTGCAATTCAAATTGTATAACTATTTTTTTGATGTTGAATTTTGTTTATGTTTTAAGGTCAGTATAAGGCTTATAACCAAGTGCATGTGAAGAGGACTGACTACTCAAGACCTCGTGCTTTCTGAGTGCATAGAAATACAATGAGCAATGAAGATATCCCTTGCAAGAAGATGTGTTCTTGTATATGTGCAAATCTTAATCAAGTACTTGAGCGTCTTTCAGGTCTCGGAACACATTTCATAATCGCAGCTCTCCACAGGGCAGGGGCAAGTAAAAGACTTAGAGTAGTCACACTCAGAATAAGAAGATAGACCTGAAAATTGAAAAGAAAAAACCATTACTTCTCTTAGTTACATGGTAAACTAAGAAATGATTACAAGTTTGAGGAGATCAGAATCTTCTCGACAGTATTTTCAGGAGACTTCACCTGTCTTCCCAAGCAACTATGCATATTGCTACAAAAGCAAACAAATGCACGCTCAAATCATCTAATTATCTCTTTACCTGGTTTGAAGATACAATTACAAGAACAATGTTATAAGGTTATAGAAAAACAATTATTTATATATGTAGTTAAGAGGTCAATTTTGAAAGCTCAATGTTTGCTAAAAGGTCAAAGGCCAAATACCACTTTATTTAAAAAAAAACCAAAAACACGAAACAAAAAAAACTCCTACAAAAATCAAACCACCCAAATCTATTCTGGTTTAATGATACAATGGCAAAGTTCACTACTATTTTATACACTAAAAAAAGCAAACAAAACGCCCTTTAAGTCATACTGCACATCTTCTGAAGAAAGATCTTAACTACATAGTCTGAATGAGTCTTAGAAAACAGCAGCAGGAAGTAGTTTTGAGGTCCCAAACAGGAGAATGACTTGGAAATTTCAGAGCTATATAAACCTACACAGTAGATAATCAAGTGAGAGCAGCCACAGAAAAAAATGAAAGCCTAAAGGCCTCCAAGCACAGTGGGTGGGCCCCTAAGCTGGTTCTGTGATCACATATGGATATCTTGAAACTCTATACAAACGTACAATATTTATAACTCCTAATTATATGCAGGAGTGAACATGAAAATGAATCACCTTTACCTATACAAGCGAACAGCATTGTGTAAGTTTTTCACACGTGCTTTATCTGGAATTAGTTCCAGCATTACACAGCCCACTTACTCACACGATGAAAAGCTCGGAGCGCCAGCAGTGTGTTTTTGTCAGCAGGGAGACAGAGGAGAAAGCAGTTCACACTAGAAAGTGAAGTCAGTTTTGTATCTCTATAGCTGTAATTTACTTACTCTCTCAAAGCAGATTTCATCTCGAAACAAATAACGTTCTCACAGCTTGAATATAAAACTAAGGTTTCTTTCCTAGAGGATTTTTTTCATGACTACTGAAAAAGCTGGTTATTTCTTCTGCAGAAGATCTAAAATGAACAAGCTTTGCAGGTAAAGATTACAAGTTTGCTTGTTTAAATGTTAAGGTCATTTCCACTTCACTATATCTGCTTTCTAGTTCTCATTTACTGCTATTTCCTTATTCAAATCCTATGCTCTCCGTTACCTCTTTCTACACCTATATCAAGATTTTAAAAGCAAAGACTTACCAGTCCCAGTGACTTGGGTGCTAGCTACAACTCACTGCTCAGTTAACAAAGAAGTTGTGAGAACAGTTAAGGTAAAGCATTTATAACAAAGTTATTTAAAAGTAAAACCTGCTATTTAAAACATTAAAGTACAATTTGAAACAAGCAAAAGACTGGAACTAAGAACCCTATCAGGGACATACATGTCTCCAGTTGTATGGGTTGATTCTACTTGTTAACAGTTAAGAAATGCCATGAAATTGGAGTGTATTGGTATTTCAAATATACTGTAATACAAAATCCCAGTAAGTTATTCAGGTGCAAAAACCCCAAAGTTAATAACTATAGAACAGCTTACCTCCCGAGATATGATCCCTGCTCTGCGTGCTCTACTTCCCAGAACAAAAGAGAATTCACTGACTTGTGCCAGTCCTGCTGAGACAATCCACTTGATATACTGGCTGGTCTTTGGAAGAATCAGAGAAAGGACAAGCACTGCCAAGACAAACTTTAAAAAGGTTTTTTTTTGGTTGTTGTGGGTTTCTTTTGTTTTGTTTTTAAGTAGAAGCAGCATAATAAATAAAATAATACAATCTTTGTAAGATACATAGCATCAAATACAATAATTATGGACATAAAATAAACTAGTAGAATTCTAAATATGTCTTCTGTATTAATGTCAAAAGAGACAAACATACATTGCACAGTGAAAAGTAGTATCTTGTATACTATATAAAAACACTAGACAACTGTCACAAATCCCAAGCTAGATAAGCAGATGTTTCTCTGTGTGTAACTTTTAACATTAAATACAATCCTGTTTTTTTTGTAATATCCTAAGAATGTATCAAACTGTATTCTAGTCAGTAAGGTTCCTCCAAATACAGATTTACAGTAAAGATGTAATATTCTCTGTTATATCAGATGTTTAATTCTTGCACAGAATTTTCATTAAGGCATAGCAGCACACTGATTATTTAGACCATAAAAAGATAATAAAAAAGAAAAATACCTTCATTATGACCACAGACAATGTAAGGAATAGTAAGACCGTGAGTTCATATATTACAAATGTGGGGAAAACATGAAGTCCTAGAAGGAAAGAAAACAGTATTTCAGAGTTTAAGGCCAGTATCTTACTATGATAATTTTCTGAGTTAGTAACAGATTGAATTGCAAGCCTGTATTCTCAAAACCAAACAAATAAAAAGCCTTAACATACCTACCAACACTACCTACTCGATCACTAAAGCACTTCCTGCATTATCCAACCGTTTTTCCTTTGGAGGAGTTTAGCACAAACAATATTCCCAACCAAGTTAAACTGTGTATGACCGATGCACGAGCACTTTCCTTTATAAAGTTTTCTCTCTTCCACACCAGTCAACAATCCAGAATCTGAACTGAAACGCACCTCTGATGAGAGCCATAAAAATACTGCAGAAAAACAATGCCATTGTTCTGCACAGGGATTGTAAAATACACTTTGGTAGCCCTTTAACATTTTTGTGTGACATGGTAACGGGACTACCACTGTGGGAGGAACGTGATATTTAGTATTTGTGTAGACTATAGCTACAACAGAAAACATAAGTGTTTTGATCACATGACTCTCACTTCCAAACACTGAAAGTCACCTGAACTGGAAAAGTCACTTGGACTGGAATCAGGTAAGGTCCTAAACCCCTAAGTATGGGCTAACAATTAAGGAAGTCTATAAAACGCCATTGCTATGATGTTGGTTGGGTTTTTTGGGGGAGGAAGGTACTTTTTTTTTTCCAATTTTTTTGTCATTTTAATTCAGTAATTATATGAAGGTAACAAGAACCATAACGAACACAGAAATTTAAAACTAAATACTGCTAATATTAAACATAAGAAAAACAAGTATTTGTTGGAGAAGTCCTGGAGTCACTGAGGAAGATTCTTACAGCTGACTAAGTCCATTTTTTCCTCCTAGGGTATGAGAAACTTGTGCAGGCAAACATAACTGCGTATCTTTGGAAGCTCATTCCTTTTTCATAAAAGTTCTTAAAAAGAGGAACCAAAATAGTGGTGGTGTTCCTGATAAATCCACAGGAGTTAGCAGTTCTCCAACCCAAGTTTTTCTGGAGAATGACAAAAGTTTAGCTTTCTAAAGCACGAGGCACATAAATCAATGCTGTAACTTCTTATTTTAATGCTAGAGAACTTTTCAATAAATTTCCCCACCCCATAACACTGCAGAGCCAGAAGAATTGTAGAGAACTAAGAGTCATCTTCTCTTCCTGGGTGCGCAGGAGAAGTTAGTTACAGTAACTTCACAATGTTTTGTCCATACACACATTCCACTGTGGATGGAAATGTACTTGAAGTACATCAGAGATTTTTATACAAGTACTACCCAGTCAGCGTGCACACACCCTGGTTTACGTCTTAATTTCCTTCCAACTACTGAAGCACAAGTGCAAGAGATTATCACAATAAGAGAGGAGATGGCAGAGTAAGAGATGAACACCACACCAAGGAAACAAATCCAGATGTGTGCACATATGCACATGGAGGGGCAAGTAGCTTCTCTTTTTTACTGTGTTATCACGTGCACATTGCTCATTCACCTTTAGGCCCATCTCAGAAACGTACATGAAAATCAACTAGAGAAATACAGCCTGTAACAATGTTGTGTTTGATAAGAGGGCCAACTCTGCCACATCTGGAACTGAAGATTTCAGAAGGAGGCTATAAATACAGCCTAATGCTCTCATCACTACTGGTGGAGCTAGGTTTTCGGTCCTGGAGCAGACAGGCAGTCTGAAGTCCATTTGACATGGAGGTTATTACCATATTCCAAAGAGCTGAGGCACAAACTACTGCAGATTTCTATACCAGTCCCATGGAGGTGAGCATCTGCGAGGTGAAGCAAGCCTAAACCTGTGAGCAAACAAGTAAGGATCCCAGCACACAAACATGTTTTGGGGGAAATAAATCCCACCATATGGGATATCATGGTCATTACAGACCTTTGCCCCAGCCCTAGATGAAAACTTAGGCTAAGGCCAGAAGTCATATCAGACTGCTATACAAGCACATGAAGCCTTCCTGACAACACAGACGTCATCAGAAAGATTAACTTCAGAAAGTGCATGGATATTAGCATTTACTTCAATCAGACTTTGTGACTAAGCTTAAGAGTCACTACAGACTTGTTCTCTAGAATGGAAGAAATACTTCAATCAAACAATTCAAGAACTTCAGCACCGTGATCAGGCAGCATGTGGCATGTTGGCCTGTCAGCAATAGCTAGGATATCACATAGGTACATTTTCACAGAGCTGAGCATAAGCCACTGGACTTCAGTTCTAAGCAGTGTTCTGGAATAGCTGGAATGGAGGCCTTGGGGTGAAGGTGACCTTGCGTCAATGTCAAGCCAAAAAGTACAGTTCACTCGTGTTGGTATGTGTTCTTCTGTGGATGATTACAGGCAAGATTTTGCACATTCTTTTTATAAGTACTTTTTTCTTAACAAGTAAACTCCCTTTCCCCCTCTGATTAGACAGATTCCACCAATCTGCTGGATGGCCGCTAGACAGCACGTGAAGATCCAAACGTTATGACCACATCCTGGAAGATCCAGCATCAAGCAAAGGAATCGTGGAGACCCTTGGCGGCAAAAAAGATTACAGAAACCAGAACTCTGTTGGTCAAACTGGAGCCAGTAGAATTAATTCTGACACATCCTCAAGACAGGACATCACTCTGAAAAATCATGTTTGTGATGCGTTGGGACGCTGTATCTACTACGAGTCTTAATGAACCTAAGAACATAGCTAGCAAAGGCAATAAAGGCTACAGCCTTGGCTAGATCATTAAGTAGCAGAGGGAAAAAACAACATTTATCTCCATGTTTCTGCAATGGGGAAAGTCCTCTTGATTCTAATGTCAGTTCTGAGAGCCTGAAACCTCCAAGTTTCATTGTGTTCCATGCAGGACAACAAAGCATTCGAGCTGGATGGATAAGGAGAAGGCGACGTATGTCACCTGATGAATTCCAGTTGGGATCTTCCTTTGATTTCTCTCAAATTCAACAGAAATGTTAAGGGGCTCATCAGAGAAACGTAGGGTGCATGTTTGTTCTGGACAGCGGTAGCGCTGACGGTGTCGGCATTACCCATCTTCTGAAGAAAAAGACCACACTGTTAAAAGGTTTTCAGCACCTTGCATTCCAGATCCAACACTGACAAGAAGCTTTACCCAGAAGGGAAACCTGGAGCCTGGCAAGTGAGGATATCCATACAGCACATTGAGGGGACACAACTTTCGCAGTCCGTGGAAGTAATCTGCCTCCTGACCAGTGGCAGATAGGGTCCTGATGCCCAATTTCAAACTCCATATGCCTTGTAGACTGACAAAAAATGGGATATTGGAGCCTTTAAAAAAAAGTCGAACAGTCTATGCAAAGATGCCTTCCATCTTCCTAAAAAGCAATCAAAACAAAATCGAATGATGCAGAGGTGGAAAGGGAAGGATCTGAGTACTATATACCAAAACAGAAATGAAAAAGAAAGTTCTCAAAATATGTCTCTAAGGGATTGATCCAGATGTTCTCTCAAAAATATTAGTGAGGACAGACACTAATAGGAACTTTCTAACCTCAGCAGACAGCGTAAAGAGAGCCAGAAGCCTTGAGGAATACACGCAGGCCTAAATGAATGTAGAGATGGAGAGTGACAAAGTGCAGCTGTTAATGCCTAACTGCAAAGCTGTATTATTCCCACAAATGCACCCATGCGTGAACTGGAAAGCAGTGGCACTACACAGGTCAAGCTTAGGGCAGGGCCACTGTTGCAGATATCACACGAACAACTACTGTTCAGCTCAGCTTTTAGGCACCAAAAGGATTTCTGTAGTGAGAACAGAAAAGCAGGCATTTAAGACAAGCAAAATAGGAACTAACTTTTCCAAATGACTTAGTTATAGTCACTTTTCAATTAAGTAAAATTTTTCTATTTATTCCTTTATTCCAAAAGGAAGAGAAATTATATTACTGCATTGGTGTACCATCTCACCTCAGGATGTGAAGTGTTTCTGCTCTCTATAATAGGGTGCTTGCTGTATATAGCAACAAGCCTTCTCTGTAGGCGAGGGGAGCAGAATCTTCCCCTGTGGTCTTTCCATAATTTCACATAGTAAATCTCTTTATATTTACAGAGACATATTATTTGCATGTGTACATATATAAGTAGAGAGCAAGCAAGAAGTCTTCTTACTAGCATTCCTTAAACTTTTTAAAAAGAAGTATTTTTATCCTACTTAGATTTTCTTTGCAACATCACATTACTCCTTTTTAAAACCTACCTCCTTGCCACCCCACAGAACTTCCTGATAATCACAAAATTTGAAAGTAATTGAAAATAAAGGGGGAAGGGTGGGAAAATGTTTGGGGGGGGGGAGGAGAAGGGTTTGTTGTTGGTTTTTTTTTGGTAGGATGTGTTTTTTGTTGTGTTGTTTTTTGTTTGTTTGTTTGCGTGTTTTTTTGTTGTTTTGGGTTTTTTTTTTCCAAGCAAACATTGTCACATTTTGTCAGGCCTATAACACAGCTCATTTTTCTGATTTTTAGCTAACTTTCTTCTGAGGCAGGAATAACACCCATTTTCTGTAAAAGCTTACAAATGTGTTAGGCAATTTTCTTTCCCTTCTTGCAATTACAATGGTAACAACAGTTTAAAAGATTTTTTTTTTCTAATTCTGTAACAGAACTACTAAAATAATTTCCTTACACTATAATGTAGGCTACATGGGGTGCTGCCAGCATGCCAACTGAGGTCTTGCTATTTTCTTGTACTCTGCCAAAGTCTTATCTCTAGTCTTAATTTATGCAGTCACAAGAACGTAGGACAGTATTTTTGTTCAGCCCCTTGTAAAATTAACTTTGGGCTTATCCTGATAACACTATCCCCTCCATCACCATCTTTATTGAAACACATGAACAACTTACCTGTGAGCGTTTAGCAATTACTCATCCAACCTCATCAGTTATATGGGTCCAAGAGTTCTACCATAGCTCACCAATTTCCTCTCTTTATTAATAAATAAGTTATTCAAATAAACGTATCTACTGCTAAGCAATTGGACTGATCAGCACAAGTTATTATCATGGGCTGGGTAAAACAAAAATCAAGATTGGCAAGCATAACTATTCCATTTTCATTTTGGCAACCACCAGAAGCAGCTTTACTTTCTGTTATGAAACAATGCGTATCAAACACGTATATGAGGAAAGGCATTACAATTATGCTGAGACTTCACTATTATCTGAACATATGGAGATAAAAAGAACAACAGAAAAAATAAAACCAGAAGAAAAACCAAGGGTGGTAGTGGAGAAAAAAAAACAACCCCCCAAAATTTCTGAGTAAGCATGGCTTGAAGGAGGTTGGATTTGTGAGAAGGGCCACATTCAAACTCTGTTTCAGACCTTGCAGTGTCCCCAAAATAGGACACACATCTCCTACGCAATCCACAGGGAGAGGCACGTGCTTTCACAGTCTTTATTTGCTGTACCTAAGCACTTCAGTAACAGGTTTCCTTTTCCTTTAGGGAAAGCTCATTGGGGCAAGCATGGACAGCTAGAGAATACAGCAGTTCAAAAGGAAGCTACCCATTGACTGTAAATAGTCTCAGAGTTAACTTGTTCTGGATAATGAGCATGATAAGTTACTCTGCTGGTCTTAGACATCAGTGCTGCATTTCAGTTGGCATTCAGGTAGCCTCTGAGATACATCTTGTTCAATTATTTTTTCCCTGTGTTGAGAACACACAGGTCACATTTTCCTAACTAAAGAAACAAGATGCTATTAAAAAAAAAAAATCTGTTTCCATTATCATATTTTGCTTTTAGAGAAAACCAAGCCATAAGGACCTTAAATCTACTCTACCAACTGACTCAAATTGTAATTGATTTTAGGATAAAGTACAAATATATCCACTGTGAAGACAGAAGAACATTTAGGGGAAAAAAAGGCAAGAAACCCAACCCAAAAACCTCTTTTTTACCTTGAAATTTTTAGTTATGTGTTTTAAATGGCCCAGACAAATTCAGAATTAGCAGAAAAAAACTGACATTAAAACAAGAATTGAGAGCATAACACAGAAATTGCTCATGAAAATGAACGTTACATTTAAAAATATTAGCAAAGTGAAACTAATATTGTGGTCAGTTAACATTTTAGTATCTTAACAAAATAAAATAAAGATAAATTGTATCTCCTCTCCCCAATTTGTAGACACCATTTTTTTTTCTCCTCCCCCACATTTGTAGGTTAACACTATTTTTAAAGTAAGTTTTCTTAGAAGTTACCTATGGATGCAAAGAAAATGATGGCAAGAAAGTCACGTATTGGTTCAATACAGGACATAATCTCCTCAGTAACCATGTGACCCTGAGAAGAGATCAGAGCTCCGGCTAAGAAGCATCCCAGCTCCATTGAAACATCCAACAGCTCTGTGATCTGTCAAGGAATAACAGAAATTCTATTGCCGTTTCCTTTAGCCCTGAGTGACTTCATATACCATTTCACAATGAAATTATAAAACTGTACATTGTACTGAATGTAGGAAATTACTATGTCTTTAGGCTAGTTCAACAACTAAAATTCATCATATTTCAGTGTTCTAAAGTATTGTATTTATGCAAAAGACTCACACAACCAGTTTCCTCCCCACATTATCTCCTTCCTCACAATAACAATAATAAATTTCTTAATCTACATTGTAATGCTTTCTGTCACTCTTAAGGGTAGCATCTGAGTTCACAAAAATGAGAAAAACCGTAACAGCTTCGGAGTCAGGATTGGATAAGACATTGAGGCTGTGAAATAAAGCAGTAAGAACAGCATATCTTCCAACTGTCAAACAAGGGGAAAAAATAAAAATCAAAGCTTATAATTTGGGAGAATAGTCTCAATTTAGCAGAAGTCCCATGCATAAATTATGTTTTATTATTGTAAATTGGACTTAAATGTGCCTGTGGGCTTCACTGAATAGAGATGCATTTAAGCATGTGAAGTAAGCTGCTGAAATGAAGCACGATATCTGTTTGAAAGAATTCAGACTGCTCTGCATTCTTTTTTATTATTTGAATACAGTACTAGAAGGAAGAGATGAAACACATATAAAGAGACTGAACTAAAACCAAATCAACTGCCCAAGGCAAATGCTCAGAACATTAAAAGAAGCAAGCAGCACTTTTAGTTGGTATAAAGTATGTTTCAAAATAACTACTTTAAAACCATGCTGCTGCAGACCGTCATCTTACTGAGAAAGGGAAATGCTATTAATATTAATAGAACACGTAAAACTGAAGACTTGTTTCCATACTAATTTAGATTAAGTAACAATACACCATAGTACATTTATGGACAACATTCATCATATCTTGAACGATGTTACACTATAAGGCATGAAGCTAAAACTCAAGTGACTTGAAATTAATGGAGGAGAACAGAAGACACAATAAACAAGTCACCAAGCTATGCATGAAATGCCACCTAAAAATAAACCCCAGACTTCTGTATATTGAAGTATTAAATGTCTGAATGCTCATCACCCAACTCCATTTGTGCTAACAGCCTGTAATTTATTGCAAGACATTTAAGAAAACAAAATGGTTCTGTCAACTAATGCAAATAGTTGCTGATCACGGAAAACCAACAAAAACATTATAATGTTATTCTCATTTTAAAACAAAAGGAATTTCAGTGATTTTCACCCCAATTTGAAATTGTAAGAGGGAAGAAGGAAATATATATTAAAGGCTTTAAAATCACCATAAGATAAAGGCAACAACAGTTATGAATAGCACACATTTAAGTTCTTCTCAATCACACATTAGTTGTTTTAAAAGTCACAACCTCTTGAGTATGATTAAGATCGAATATAGCCTCTTCATATAAGTTGGAATTATTTTTACTACTCGGGGGTAATCACAGAATGGTAGGGGTTGGGAGGGACCTCTGTGGGTCATCTAGTCCAACCCCCCTGCCGAAGCAGGGTCACCTACAGCAGGCTGCACAGGACCTTGTCCAGGCGGGTCTTGAATATCTCCAGAGAAGGAGACTCCACAACCTCCCTGGGCAGCCTGTTCCAGGGCTCCGTCACCCTCAGAGGGAAGAAGTTCTTCCTCATGTTCAGACGGAACTTCCTGTGCCTCAGTTTGTGCCCATTACCCCTTGTCCTGTCACTGGGCACCACTGAAAAGAGCTTGGCCCCATCCTCCTGACACCCACCCTGCAGATATTTGTAGGCATTTATAAGGTCCCCTCGCAGCCTTCTCTTCCTCAGGCTGAACAAGCCCAGTTCCCTCAACCTCTCCTCGTAGGGGAGATGCTCCAGTCCCCTCACCATCCTCGTAGCCCTAAAGTCAAAAATTTGCAGTGCTGTATGCTCCTTGCATGCCCAGAGCTCCAGACAGAAACTTTTATAGCTAGTATTTTAAGTATTCACATGGACACGGTCAGGTTACCATGTAAGAAGGGATTTACAATCTCTTTATCGGAATTGCAAGGATTGCTTTGCTTTCTCTAGAATGTTGGATTTTTACATTCTAATGTTCTACCATACCAATAAATAAACAAACATACCTTACTGCTCTAACATCTTCCAGCTGGATTTCAACTATTTGTTCAGCAGTTGTTTTGTGTATCTTCTCTAATAATGTATATCTTATTCCTACTCTTTAATCATCATAGAACCTTAAGGAATATGGTAAGCCAGTAAAATTAAAGAAATCCCTGATGGAAATAAATGTATTAGAATTTCAGGCTTTAATAACTTAAATATGCCCAAAAGTAGAGAGGTGAATTCTAAGCTTGCATTTTAAGGAAGTAAAGCCTTAATGGAAATGGAAACAGTTTTCAGTGAGCCCTGTAAAAACTCTATCTCGACTGTATTTTATTAAATAATTTACTAGAATATTTGAGATTACAGTTCTTCCTTAATCTTCTCCTTTTAAATGATACGAAATCCTGAGTTCGTAAGCAGGCTATGAGCCACTGAGAATTACTCCAGGCAAACAAGGAATGACATTCCTAATACACTGCAGGAAGAAGTATGTACATTTTCACATCTAAACTACTGCAATAACATAGCTATATTTTCTTTTCATCTTCTTGGTATATAAAGCAAGCTGGCAATTTCCCTCCATTTGCTGCCATCATCCCAGGTCAACCATAATGCAGTCAAACTTGAAGCAACTTTCCCCCCTCCCCACAGAATCATAGAAAGTTTTGGGTCGGAAGGGACCCCTAGAGGTCATCTAGTCCAACCCCTCCGCAGCGAGCAGGGACACCACTAACTAGATCAGGTTGCTCAGAGCCCTGTCCAACCTGGTCTTGAATGTTTCCAGGGATGGGGCCTCCACTACCTCCCTGGGCAACCACGTAAATGTAACTGCTAGCCTTCTTGTCAGGTCAGGTTTGGTTTTGTTGTTTTATTTCGAGTTTTTTTTTTTCCAATTCCTTAGTAATATTCAGCAACTTAGTTTTAAAACATAACAAAACTGACCACTGTTGTCCTGCAGATACCTAATACAGCAACTCACTATCAGACTGGTGTTTGAAACAATTTTGCTTGTAATGTTTCGGCACATACAGAACATGAAAAAAAAAATACTACACCTGCGAACACTCTGGCTGACTTATAACACGTTCTTCAGCTCATTGTGGTATATATCTCGACCTACAAGTACCAGTTTGGCCATCGATCCTATGTAGCCATATTTAAAACCATAAGTTAGATTTGCTCTTTATGTTTAGATTCAGGAGAACATCTTCCCAAATAAAAAAAGAAAAAAGCATATCTGCATAACTCAAAGCTTGAAAAGGAGTGGCTAAAAGCGTAATAATGATTTACTAAGCCTTTGTTACTGATGACAAGGTACATGACTGAAAGATGCACAACTGTGTCTCAAAGTCAGCTAGACTTTTACAGGACTGGCACTTGACAACCCCCACACCCCGTGACCTACCTAACTAGTTGAGGGGGAAAAAGGGAGGGGGAATTTCAGTCACTTCTGAGAATATCTGGGAACAGAAAGAGGTATCTTAAGGTCCAATTCTTGGTAAAATACCTCATATTCAAGATCTGTTACATCTCTTTTACTCTAAGTGAGTTTGTCAAGAAGACACGTATTTAAGATCCAGTTTCAGATTTAATGAGTTGCAATGTTATCCAAGCAAGCCAAGCAGTTCAGACATGCTCAAAAGTCACTTCCATACAAGAAGTTCCTCAACGGACAGGATAATCCCTTACATCAAAATTGCTTACTCACTTTGGTCCTATCCTCCCTCTTGTTTTCCCATATAGATTTTGCCCATATTGGTAGAGAAATTGCAATTCTTGTTTAATTAGTCATCTGCGATTTTCGAACACAGGAAACCAGTAAAATAAACCAAGTTTCTATATAATGTGCATTACATGTGCTAGTGTTAGAGAGGAACCCCAACACAAGATGAACTTAGGTGGATCCCAGAAATCCAGTCAACACTGAAGCACGTAACAAGTGATACACATGTATGCATGTAATTGTATGTATGAAGCAGGAATACAGTATCATTCCTACCCATTTTGTCATATATTGGGAAGGATGTGGCCTGCAGAATATCTCACATACTAGACAGAGAATTAAAATATTTTGTTTAAAAACGTCTCTCAAGCTTTCTCAATGGACCAAAGAGTCATCTTTGGTTAAGGCCACTAAAACACATCCTCTCTGTAAATTCCAAAGCTTTTTTAGAATTACATCAGTATGGAAAAATCTGTGTTTGCACACAGTGATACAAACTCTGTCAATATTTATGCTTGGTTTTCAAAGATTTGCAGGAACCACCACAGTTTAATTGTTTTCCTACCTGGCACCCAAATGCCTTAATTTATTCTTTCCAAACACATGCAACATTTTTTTCAAATTAGATTGCCATCCCCCATCTTATGTTTTTATTCCTGACATAGTAGGGCATCTATACCCAGTTAAGATTTGTTTTCCAAAAGATTTGTTTGTTGAACTGTTCAACTGGACAACCAAATACTTTTTAAGGTTTTTTTTATTATTGGTTTTTTTTATAAGCCTTTGTGCTCAAACCACAACTTGTAGTATTACTATAATGAATGTATCTGTGTCAGTGAACATCAAGCATCTCAACTGGTTTACTGAGGTTACATGCAGTATCCTTTGTACTGTTCCCTTTGATACATTATTTATCAACTTTAAAAGGAAAACTGTTTTCACTTAAAGTACACAAAATATGTGCTCCTTCAAAACGCTTCCCATGCTGAAAAAGTATTCTGTTTTGCAGTATGAATTCAACACACTCCAACATATTCTCTCTCAGGCTTGTATACACATAGATCTTATGTAAAATCACGTAGACAAACTCCTTGTGGATTTGATATGTGATTTGAGCACAATATGCTACATTTAGTCAGATCAGTCTACGTAGGCTGTATTTTTAATGAAAGTAAGACTGCTTCTAGATACCATAATGTTTTATGCAACTTTTGTGGTTTGGTGGTGGTTGTTTTTCATTGAAGTTGTTCTACAAATGTGATGTCTGCTTGTTAGAAAGGAAAAATGAGAAACTAGTTTTGTTCCTTCTCTTATTAGATGGTACTCCTGTTTAGAATATGAATAGCTCTTTAGAGGGATGGCATTTTTAACCTATACAACACAAATCAACAAACCGTAAAGCTATGCTCTCACTAACTTCTTTCTTGACTTTCTTCCTGAAGGAGGCCAGCTTTCTCTGTTGGACCTGTAACAATTAAGTAAATACTCCTAGAAAAAAAGGCGCATGCACAGGACCGTTTTGGGATAACTTTTCTCAGAAATTCTCAGAGGACATAACAATCTGCACATCCAGGATAATGGGGTTTCAAACCCACAACATTATCAGCGACTGTCACATTCTGTTCTCTGGCAGAATAGTTTTTCAGAGGGCTGAAATGCAAGATAGAAACAAATAGAAGGAAGGTTCGGAAGAAAATGAACCAAACCCAAAAGGCGTATCAAAACCTATGAACTTTAAAGGCATTTCTCTACTTTCTCAAATTCATCCCAAACCCTTTACCTCCCACAGAAGAACAAAAGTATTTTATAATAAAAACCATGTTCAGAATTTGCTATTGAAAAGAAACTTGTGAGCAAATGTCACAATTGGCTATTATCAGTATCTCAAAACCCATCCTAAATTATTTTCAAATGCATGAAGTAGCCCAAAATTAAAACTGGAATCATGATTCTTTAACTGGCTGTATTAAAAGTTACCAGCAAAAGTTCAGCTGATTTACCTTAAAATTTTATCTCTTCTTACTGATCTATGCTGTAATGCACGAACCACCTGTGCATTTGGGGTTTGTTTTAAAACCAAATAATTAACTAGAGGTGCATGCAATAACAATAAGTGTGATGGCTTTTGTGATACTGATGCAGTAAAGTACCACATGTATCAAAACGTTTTATTAATTTAAAAGATTACCGTTAACATAAGGAAGATGAATGCAGTTATTCCTAGAATGAGGATTTCTTTATTCCCTTTGCTTTCTGCATGCAACTTGCGATAATACGGTCCGATGAGGTAAGTCTTTATAACAAGACATATAAGAAAAACAGCAGCCAGAGAAAAGAGAATTTGGCCAATCAGTATCAGTATTCTCAGTATTTCCTTGAAAATGCTGGAAGAGAAGAACAAACAAAACATTTCTTTCCAGTGCTCTCATGCCTTCCAACCAGTTCCCCTTAAGTGAAAATATTTAATTCCACAGATGTTCAAAACTGACTATCTACGGTAAGATATTTAGATACAGTAGTAAACAAGACAAATATTAAATCTGTTGAGTGCCCAGCAATCTCTTTTACAGCCTAGAATTTACTTCCATGTTGATTCAAAAGGATTTTTGTTGATTGATCTTCAAGGTAAGCCATCAGGCTCAATAATACTATCATATAGTCTTTGACAAAAATACGTCTTGAGGGAATAAAGTAACTGAAGAAATTAACTTGTTTTCTACAATAACAAACTTCTCACTACAAATTTCAAGTACTGGACAGGACTAAGGCAGCTAGAGCAGCAAGAATATCCTCACACAACCTGGCAAGTACAAATAGTAAAGGGAACTCACAGAATAGAGTGAGTAGTTTTCACAGAACTGACATTAACTGTAGTACTCTCATATTCATATTTGCAATCCATATACTAATTGGAAGGGGGGGTGGAGAAGATACATACAATTTTTTTTTTTTTTTACCTGGAATATGTGCTCGCTCCTACTTGAATCAGTGTAGGCATGACAGCTATAAATAAACCAAGCTGCACATCCTGCATCACCAACATGCCAAGTAGTACGCTACTGTAGTCAATATCCCCTGTACACCAACAAAGAAGTGATGGAAACATTCATCAGAATTTAAGAATATTTGCAGTGCTCAGAAATCTAGAAATGTCTTAATCAAATGGAGGCTAAGTATAGTTCTCAGTGGGGTAAGGTCATTCAGAGCATTCTGTTGTTCCCCCCCCCGCCAGTAAATTAAAAAAAAATATATATAAAAAAGATATATTAAAATATTAATAAAATATTCACATGAAGCTTCTGTTACACAATAAAAATACAGACTTTGCTTAGCAGTTAAGCAGTAGTTACACATTTACTGGAGCTTCTTTACTGAAAACACACAGTCTTTAGAATAACAGACACATATAAGATCCAGCATGTATAAAATATATGCTTTGAGTTTAGGCATTAGAATATGAATATTCTAGGGAGTAGGGAGAACTTGAATGCAGTATGCATAAGGGAGGTTTAAGTGGAAGAAAGCAAGATGGCAAAACTTCTGAAAGGAAACATTCAGAAGTGTTTGAGAAGCTAGCAATATGGCACTTGAAGGTACTTACTTGAAGAGCTGTTAGCTATGAAAGACTACCTGAGCTGGTCTTAGTTTGCTGAAGAAGGATGTGAATTATTTAAGTTAGCATTTCTGCCCTGATGATAGACTGGTAATAATGGTCTAACCTGGTAACCTCTTAAAAAGTACAAGGATTCCAGACCCTCAGTGAAGTCAATTCTTAACCTGGAGAGTACTGACTAGGCTACACTGTATTCCTCCAGAGAGGACTGGTTATCTAAATAGCAAGTACACCTCATAACGAGTACACACAACACTGGTCAGTGTTAAAAGAGGATGATCACTTGTAAACCAAACTTAACAGTGGGGTTTGTTTAGTTTTGTTTCATTTTTTAACTAGTTTATCTCATAACATTACAAAGTCAACTTCTTTCAAATTTTATTGTAGATGTTACAGTAGTCCATATTTAAAACCATACTTGCCTTCTTTGTCGCCTCGAACACTGCCTGCAAGAAATCGTGACACCAATGGCGTGCTTGATAAAGATAAACAAGTGGAAATGAAGACACTTTGTGTTGGTCTAATTTGGAGCAAGTGTCCCCACAGTAAACCAAAGGCAATCATCAGAACTGTCATGTAGCAGGGTCCTTGCAAAGATATTTTCCATACCTTAGGAAGAAAACAAGCTCTTATGATAAAGTCTGATGACACTTTCCTCACTGATAAGTTACAAGGATTTTCAGCGCAAACAAGCAGTTAAAGATGCATGATTTGGGGCTGCAGCGTTGGGCCACAGAAGCAATGCGCTGTCATCCTATACATCCTAAAACTCTGAAGTTATTATGCCTAGTAGATAATATTCTATGCCAGAAGGCTCATTACCAGGAATTAGGTAAATTTCGCAGAGCTCACAGACAAATTAAGGGCCAAAGGTCCAGCATGGGGTGAAATATATTAAAATCATCAAATGGAAGACCAGTTATTTGATGTGATTCCAGGGCGACGAAAAAAATGGGAGAGGCAAAGACCATCATCAATACCAACAGCCCATTCCACACTAGTGAGCACACAATTCTGAAGTAACAATTTACATACTACAGTTTATGAACCCTTGAATTACTGATTTTTATCTTTGATTTGACATGGACTAGAAATAGCGGATTAAGATGAATGTTCATAAATTTTAATACATTTCAATTAAAGCTTTTATAGTCTCATGAACTCACAACCATCAGTTTAGGAACAAATCACGCAATGCAACTCTTTACATACAGTCCTTATGTATTTTTCAGCAGTATTTTCCACTATTAAAATTCTAGCTGGTTTATGAGACAACTGTGGGTTTTTTTAATTAAGACCAAAAGAAACTTGTACTTTTTTACTGAATCCTGATGGCCACATCATGTAATATTCCAGATTGTGCTAACACACTTGCAGAATCAGTTTATTAGCCAGTACAGCATGTATCATCAACTCTGCACGCAGTACTTCACAAACCGATTTTTTTAATAACAGGACTGGCAAACATCACTGGATACTCCATAACAGCAACTGACTGTTGCTGCATGTTGAAATAAAGGAGAGATGGATTGCCATAAATTGTGTGAGGTTTTTCCAGTAATCTGTTTTACTAAAACAAAGAGGAATAGCAAAAGTTTTACTGAGACCGAATAAATAATACATTCTGTTCTTTCCAAAGAGTTAAAGAGAAGAACCGTCACATTTGTCTTTTTGAAAATGTGGAGTTATATCAGCATATTATGGGGAGAATGTAAAAATCTGAAATAGAACTGATAACTTCAACATTAGTAATTAAATCCTCTAATGTAGAGGTATTATACAAAAATACCTTTCTTAATCTTTCAGGAGAAAATTCCAGACCAACCACAAAGAGAGTGAAGAATACACCAAACTCTCCTAACGTCTCTACCTGTACAATAGACTGTAAGAAAAAAAAAAAAAAAAATCAGTGCACAGCAGTCTACTTACAATACTAATTCTAAGTTCACTTATGAAACAAATTGTTTCTGATTATGTTTCCACAGGCAGTTCACTTGCTGGTCATATAACATCAGAAGTGCCTCAGCATCTTTAGGGTTCAAACATTTTTCCCATCACCTGGCTGCTACTAGATAACTTGGTTGGATAGTGCTGGTCACCCAAAATGCACACGTGTGTTGATCTAGGCAAGCTTTCTTGCTTGTTGAAAATAACTAGGTTATGTTTTGTGTATATGCTATTAACTCCCCAAGGCTTGCACTCCAGAAGATACTTCTGGCTAGTTATTTTATTGGCCTATTGGCATAATCATTCTGCTAGGCTATAGTTGCTGTTCTGCTATCTGCCCCGTAGACTCCGTGCATCCATCTCTCAGACCAGTACAACTACCAGCCTTTCCCCTTCAGAGAGAAGCGTACAACAGCAAGAAAAGTGGCTGTCTTGTCACAACAGAAAAACCTAACATTTCTTTTCCATGTATTTACAGTCCAGAGCAGAAGAGGACAGAGTCTATCATCAGTCCCAGAGAAGTGGGGATGGAAACGATCTTCCCTGCCAGATTAGAATCTGCCTGCCTCCTCAGTTCCTCTGACATTCTACATTTTTTATGAAATACAGAAGAGAGAAGGAGAGAGCATACAGAAGAGACCCAGTCAACATGAACATCATCCGGATGAATAATGTTTAATCACAGCTCCACAAGAAACAGGCAGCTCACTAAGATATTGTCCTAAAGAAACCTCCCTCATCTCTGTTCTGACCACATCATCTTCCTCGGCATAAGTCTCTGAAAATTCATTGTTGAATCTCCTTCTAATGCCAAGCTTACAAACTTGTTTTTCAGTCTCAGTAGTCAAGCTTTCCAGACCTTCTCAACCCAGGAGTTATGTATGACACGAAGGTTATTATTTAATTTCAATTTTAGAATATGAAATTTTGCAAGTGTAGCATTGGCCTTCTCTTCCAATAGGAGATCAACAAAATCCTACAATTTCTACTCATCCCTACTTACTTTTGAGCCCAACAGCCATTTTCAACAAATGTCCAAGTAAGAGCAGAGGTTGCAAAGACAGTAAGTTCCAAGCAGTTACGTGGATATCAGTGGAATAGACACGTGTAACTTAATCGGACATTACCACGCAACCTCAACATGTGTTCTGTTTTGCCTGCTGGCTAAACAATCCGTTAATGCACACCAGACCACTGATCAAGACATGTGCAATGCCTAGCCAACACCAGCCCACGGTTTCGTATTGAGCTAGTAATCAGGGTACACGTGATGGAGCTAAAAAGGTTCCAGAGACTTCAGAAATGTGGGCAGGGGACTGGAAAAGAACTAGGGTGACTAGGATGGATAAAAGAGCTACAGAGATGCAAAATAACCCTCTAGGAAGCCAAACTATGCTACTCCGGGAACTACTTTTTTTAAATACTTCCTCCACTGCCAACACTGACTTTGTGCAAGTTTCTGCATGTCTGATGTAATTTAAATAATTTGGCTCTCAAATGTAACGCTTTACGATTAAATACGAAAAGAAAAAAAAAACCAACCAAACAAAAAACCCTGACAATGTGCAACCTTCAGCTTTCACTTTCAACAATTGCTTAGGTCATGATTATATAGGAGAAAAAAACCTGAAAACAAAATGATTCAAAGACATAAAATTTTAAGGCCTCATTTTGCAAAGGTCCAGGTTTGGGGGACTTTTTTTCTTTAAATACATTTGAGGTTGGCAATACCATATTCTTCTAAAACTACTTTCCAATATTTCAACAAAATGGAATCAGTCAAGAAGCAGCTTGCACACTTACCTTGATACTATTTAGTCCTGATGGTCCTAAGAGTACTCCACAGATGATATACCCAAACATGGTTGGCAATCCTATGGTAGTGCACAGCCAGCCACATGGCAAAGACAACATTCCTATTGTCACAATATCCTAAATATATAAGGTTTACAAATGTGTTAATATAAAGGACACAAAAATTTGTGATGAAATTAACGACTATTATCTTTCAAAAGATACATAGCATTGTGAAATTAAATGTAGAATCATAGAATCATAGAATGGTTTGGGTTGGAAGGGACCTTAAAGATTATCTGGCTCCAACCCCCCTGCCATGAGCATGTGTTAAAACACATGAAAGCTTGTCGTATAAATCGGAAGCATCAGACCAGTCCTTGCTATAAAACTACTACCAACTATGCGTGATTTTAAAAAATTATGCCCTGTGAGACTTCAGCTATTAATCATTCAAGACAGAGACAATGTCAGCTTTCGCTGTGGATGGGTCCCGGGCAGCCCTGGCCTGGCTGGGGCAGCTGTGCCCTCTGCCCGCTGGAGATGCTGAGGGACTCCCACTCCACCCTCAAACCCGAGAGGCTCCCAGAATATTACCTGTTAACAGAAAACACAACTTCAGTAAACTAACCTGAGCACTTTGTTATAGGTGTGAGCAATGCAGTTATGAAGCAGATGAGGTACTGACCTTAAGTAACTGGTAGCTTAGGGGATTTTTAATCAATTTATTAAATATTTTAAATACATTATAGGAGGTAGGCAGTTTCCTGGGGAATTGTGGGGGGAATGACACTTTGCATTATAACAAAATGGTGAAACAGATCCTTTTGTTTTGTTTTTTTTTTAAAAATCCCGATCTAGTTATTCTTCATGAAGCACAAATACAATTGAAAAAAAATGTATGTATTTTCCAGCATCCTTTTTTTCATCACAAGACATAAACAGATAAATTCTCACTAGTGACAACATGCAAGTGGCTTATCAGGCATAGGAGTAACTTGCTTTTAACACTGTACAGTCCAAGAGAAGGAGTGCTCTGTCCCAAAGGTGTAACAAGTTAACTCAAACAAAAATAGAGATGATTCATGTGGCACGATGAACAGTCTCGTGAAAACTATACTAGGAGGAGGGAACACATTGGCCAGATCACCAGCAGACAGGAGAATCATGAATGCTAGGGTAACTTTAGAAGGACAAATACTGAAATTCAATCCAACCAAGCAGTACTGGCATGCAAACTAGCGGGGCTAAACCTTACCAAAACAAATTACAAGAATGTCTCTAAAACGATTACCTTTATGAAATGGTGATCAGCACGAGGAATGGTTGAATCTCTGGGCTTGGTAAGGATATACTGATTGTTCTGGGAATCAATAAGCATACTAAGACCTAAGTCATCCTCCACTTCTCTTTTTGAAGCATTTCTTTTGGAGTTGGCTTCATCTTCCTCCACCCTTAAAACTGCTTCAAAGTTCACACCTCTTACCTGTAAAACAAAGAAAGCAAATAAAAAAAAAAAAAAGGGTGAGGTGTCAATGAAGCATACAGCGAAAAGGGAAAGGTTATCAGCTGTGCTTGAAGTTGCTCCAGAATTTGTTGACGCTGACTAAAGATACTGCACTTACTTCTTAAAGGAGTTTTTCAGTCTCTTTATCAAAACTTGATGTCCATAACTGAAAAGGCTATAATTTGCTTTGTATTTTTTTTAAAAAAGGGGTTTTCCAGACCAAAAGATACAGGGTTTCAAAGCTGTAAAATTCCAATTGAGTGTTTTCCATTGCATCTAATCTGAAACACGTTTTTTAAAAAAAGCTTTATCACATTTAGAACACAAAAAGTTGGATTGAAATGTAACATTTTATTCCCTCAAACAAAAATAATTAGACATTACAAAGTGATATTCCATTTATTCAGTTTGCAAAAATCTGAAATAATGATCCCATTCAAAGAAAAAGTCACTGTCCTGTAAATTTGAAGGAGAGAGGAGAAGTGTTTCTACCTAGTGCTGTATTCAGTGCCTGTAATTACAAAGTGGAAGACACAAGGATGATGTCATTATTCACAGTATTTTAAATAATGCAGATTTTAACCAATAATCAGAAACCATTAAAGTTGTTGCTTCTTTTAGACTGCAGTAAAGAGAGTAGGCTGTTGTCATTCCGATGACTGACTACAAAACATTCAACTTTGCTGGAGGACCGTATTTTGCCCAAGCAACTCCCCAGTTTAATGAAGAAACGCATTCACATAAACCATCTATAAAACAGCCTCCTATTTTTCTTTGCTGATTCCCCAGCACGTTTCCCCCAAACTGTTCAGATATATATTGCATTTTGAATATTTCATATTTAACCTGCAATTTTTATCCTTTGCTTCCACTCCTCACCCTGGGGTGAGTGTGTATAATCAAATAAAAACTTTTATCTTGGAAATGACCTCTTTCCTGCTTTTGGACATCATGCAATATGACAGGCCTCTAAAGAACTGGAATTCACTAAGAATCAGACAGAGGGGGGAAAAAAAAAAAGAATTTGAAACAAATTATGAAGTTTGCAGAATTATTCAGAAGCATAAAATAGCTGCTTCAGACATCTGCATTGCCAGCTGTTGGAGTCAGAGGCCGATGGCCGGTTTTTTTTATGCATTATGTCTTTTCACCCTTTTTTGCCAAAAACCTGTCCTTTTATATATAATTTGCCTTTACGTCCCTAAGCTCCCCACTTACCAGGCTATTTTGCATTCCAGAATGAGGTGTCCCTTGCCAAGTCTACGAGATCAAACCATGTTTTCACATGAGAGAAAACAAGAGCAGCTGCACGCCACGTACACGCAAACTATTCTCATACTATTGCAGCAAAGAAGAAAGGCTTCCAGAGGAGGCTGACAGGGGACCTTATTGCTCTCTACAACTACCTGAAAGGAGCAGGTGTTCGTCCCTTCTCCCAACTCGATAGGACAATAGGCAATAGCCTCAAGTTGCGTCAGGGGAGGTTTAGACTGAATATCAGGAAAAATTTCTTTACTAAAAGAGCGGTCAGGCATTGGAACAGGCTGCCCAGGAAGGTCGTCGAGTCCCCATCCCTGGAGGTGTTTAAAAAACGTGTAGATGTGGCACTTCGGGATATGGTTTAGTAGGCACGGTGGTATTGGGCAGATGGTTGGACTTGATGATCTTGGAGATCTTTTGCAACCTACGATTCTAACCAGAATACACAATAAGTGCCCAATCCTACTGTTTTTCTGTCATCTTTGCTCCTGACCTCCTCTCCCATGCCCTCGTATCTCTCCAGGGATACTAAAATAGACCTTAGAGCTTACTGTTATGTGTTGGCTCTGCATAAAACACACTTTACACTGACTTTCACACCAGAATTATTTCACTGTTCAGTGCAGTGTCCCCATCTTGCAGATGACTAGTACTTTGCCTAAAAACCAAAATGCTAGGAAGCCAACATCTGTTCTAGTGTCTTCTTGGGAATTTAATGTTATGGCATCAGTGATAATATTTACTAAGAAAAATTATAAAATACATCAGCAGTGAACATCTACTTTGAAGTTCTGGAACTCCAAATTCATACAGAGTTTGTTATATGTTCCTTTGTACTTGGTAGCTTGTGTATATGGAATCTAACTAAATTTCTCTGCATCAAAATTAAAAATGTATCAAAGATCATGTAAAAGCAATGCAATTGGATAAATACATTCCTCATCTAGTGGAGTTCACAGTCGAGGTCAGAAACAATGTTAGGAAAAAAGGGAAGATGTTTATGAGATTAAGAGAATTATGAAAAAAAATCTTTATTTTCTGCGTTATATATAAATTATACATTGTGTGGACATTACAGTGCATTTTTACTTTTACAAAAGAAAAGTGAACTGACAAAAGACAGACTACGCTAGAAGAGCAAGAGTAGATGGCACAGGTTCAGATGAGCTTTCAAATACTAATAAATTTGAGGGAAAACAGGTATTTTCAGGATTTTATTTCCTAAATCAGCAATTCCTGAAAGCAGGTTGCACATAACAGAATACAATGCGCAAATACTCTTGTCTTGCATTAAGTGGGTTAGCTCACATTATTTTTTTTTGTTTTCATTTTTACCTACTACACTTGTCTCTCTGATCATATTTTCATAGAAGCTTTTGTATCTTTATTAGATTACTGATGATTCTATTAGAGCTTCTTTGTTCTAATGTTCCCGCGTTCCAGCTTAAGAGAAAACACGCTAGATGTTTCTTGCAAAGATGGAGATGCGAACAGCCCTCCAAGGCCCACGCGCTGGCATTTTGCCAGTTAGCAGGTGCAGCAGAGGTAACCCCATTCCGGGTCTCTTCCAAACATGCCGCTGTATCCCAGGGGAACAGGAGAGGGCACCCCATCAACCACAGCCCTTCCTCGCTGTTGGTCCTGCCAGGGGGATACCCACCGGGTACAACAGTTGCGATACGGCATATATGAAATAAAGAGCTGAGAAATAAAGAACTCACTTTATCTCAGTGGAGTGCAATTGCAAAAAATGGCTTGGCTGTCTACTACAGAGCAACCGTTTTTCCTCCTCAGCACAAGTCAAGAGCTATATTCGCCTCAGAAGTCAACCCACAAATCAACAAAAGCCTTTCACGAGCAAAAGCCGAATAACATTGCAACCCATATTTATGCAAACAGGACCAATTTAGAGAGCCAGTCTCTGAGGATAGCACAATGGAAACACCAGAATGTACTCCCAGTTCCAAATACACACAGCCTTACCTGAAGGATACTGTCCATCATGCAACACAAACAATTAACACTGCCAACAGGCCAAGGTACGAAAAGCAGAGGAAGTCAGAAGTGAAAGAAAGGAACACCACATTTCAAGTCCTTACCTTGAACAATATATCTTTTCCCAGACTGTGAAAACTAACTGCAAGGATTCTTGTTCTCCCATAACTTTCTCAACAAAACAAAAAGAGAAAAAAATGGAAACTATGCTTAACGTGGTAACTCCACATTCTGCAAAGTCTAAATGTCACGGTCCCCACCACCACCACTGAGATGTCCTAACTCTCAAGGGCTGTATCAGTGAGACAGACTAGACTTGCCGCTGTCAAAGTGCCAGCTGCAGGGAGGACTTCCACATTAAAAACACAGAAATCACTAGCAAAAAGGAACAATTATTCCTGTTTGCTCACTCCTAACAAAGAATCATTCTATCACTAAATACTTTCTTCTGTTGAAAGGGAAGCAAAAACAAATGTAGAGCCAAAAGGGCTTGGTTTCGGTTTTTTTTAATAGTCACTACAATCCTAACAACTATTTAACACAAGAGAAACACCCCTACAGTGCAAACATGAACTAAAAAATAAATGTACACCAATGAAAAGACTGCGTCTAAAACATCACTTACAGATTTGTTGTCATCAAAGGCATGCTCTTCTATTTCCTCTTCCAATCTATCAGCTGCCTTCCTGACATCTTCTAGAATTTCATCAAGCATTGACAGGCTTTTGTTTTGATGCTGCATGTTCTTAAGGGCTTCAACTTGATGTTTTTCTGCTGCTAAGAGTTCAACGTATTCCATTTCTTCCTGTTGAATTTTACAACACACAGATAAAGTGCTGGCCAGGCCTTCAAGCAGAAAAACATTTGACAGTAATGTACACTTCTTTTGACACAAAACATCTTACGAGTGGAATTGCAAAAGCAATATACACTTTATAATGGTATTTGAAGATTGCTTTCTCTTGTGCCAATTTTTGTTGCGAGAAGCAGGCAAGAAAGACAACCACCAAATGAGATAGCCAATAATCGCCTTTTCTAATCCATTAAATGGTAGAGCTGTCTCAAGGTTACGACCCAGAAAAATACAAGAAACTTTGAGGAACTCTAGGAAACGTTTCAGAGCCATGTAAAGTTTAGAGCTCAGTGCTTTACCAGGTAAGTATAACAACCTTGAAAGCATAGCTTTACTAGCTACAACAAACAAATTGGAAGGAAAAACACAATGAATCTTAGTATTATAGGCCATTTTATAAACATGGGAAGAGGTCTGTTTATGGTTTTCAAAAATTACAATAACTGTGGTAACAGCTACAAAAAAATAAAAGCAGTTGGGAGAGAGTACAGATGAGCAGTCAAGCACTCTAGCTGAGGTTCCTGTTTATGCCTCCCAAGAAGCATTTTTCCTATCAGAAGTAAAATACTTTGTCCATCTTTTTGGTTTGGGCCTTCTATGAACTTGCACTAATGACTTCTGAAATCCATTTCTAGGCTTCACAAGTAGAAAAAGAAAAAATGCTGATGTAGTTTGATACGGTGTAAAAATATTTGAGTAGCTTCCCTGATAAAACTTGTGATGTTCCTTTTCCCTTTGGATATTTCAGGTTCAAAAAGAGAACTATAAGAAGTTTATTTACTGATCAAGACCGGACTTAACACTGCCTCTTCTACATGGTTACTAAGACAATAACCAAACATAATACTTTGTGTATTGACAGAGTATAATTTAAGTTTTTGGGGGAAAAAAGGTAAGATGCTTCACTTCACATGACTACATTCTTTTAAAGGTGCACAGGTTGAGAGAGAGCACCGCTATGAATAAGGAAACATACGCAATGCCAGGCTTCTTCCTTTCAGTTAGATGCAGGATGCTGAGAATATTCAGATGAGAGAGACCCTAAATCTGTTCTTTAAGAAAGCCAATATTATTACCAAGGAAAAAAAACAGACCAGGCAAAAAATACAGGCAATCTCTAGGTCAAACTGAATTCCCATAAAACACAAGTTTCTGTCTCCATTTTAGATGCCCTGCCACACCCAGTTAGAAATCAGACAGAACACAGGTCTTCCTTAGGTTGTGTGTTTTATCTGCCTACCCCACACAGATATCTTGGATAACCTGGGCATCTAAAATGGTCCTAAACTCCTATGTTTAAATAACTGGAGCATTCCCTCCTCCACATGTTTGTGGATGGGCATTTTTCCCCTTGAACCCTGCAAGAACATGCATGTAATTTAATCAATTCCTTGAAACTAACACAAGAGTATGTTCGGTGCAGCCTGTAACTGTAGCTTAACCCTTTTAAAATCCTGACAGTCAGATGAATACTTCTGGTTGTGATGAAACCACAGAATTGCTGGCTCTTGCCTGTTGATGTTTAGAATTACCATAGTTACATTGGCATGATGAAATTACCCAGTTCCTAACATAACTGGAGTCGGGAAAAATGTAACTATTAATGTGCTTGGCCCAGTGTCAACTGCCTTCGTTCTTACACAACACAAGCAAGACTCTCATGCAGCCTCAAGTAAAAATGTTTCCTATCTGTTGTTCTCCGCTAGCAGACATTGCTTGGAAGATGTAAAAAACAGGCCCCATATGAGCAAAAAAAACTTGGAACGAAAGATGGAACAGATAAGGGTTAGATTCTTTCCCCTCAAAAATGGAACAGGTTTTGGGTGGAGAGAGCTGATCAGTCCCTTGTGCCAGCTGAGACAAACTGGCTGAACAGTTAGAGGTAAACTCCAGAAAAAAAAAGGCTCCAATTTGCAAGCAGTTAACTTACCCTGAGTAGAAGAGCTTTGAAAAATCTGAGTTTAACTGTAAGTTGCTTTAACTAATGAAGACAAAGATTTTTGTGCTCTGCTAAAGTGGCATCTCTGTTTTCACCTACAGAGCAGAGTCACGGCAGCAGAGTGGGACCATCGCAGAGAATGGTGTCCATGATAAGGACAAGCCATCTCAAACACCCTGCTACATGTTAAGAAGAAGCGCATCACAGTATAAAACACTGTTCTGCAACTCATGCTGGGATTGGAGACACCTGATCACAAGGTACATACCAAACAATCTTTTAAGCAGGGTAATACAGGTAAGCATTGTGCTCTAAGCAGGAGACTGGAACACCGAGAAACACATGAGCAAAATGAAGTGAAATTAAGCAAGACTTTGGGGCAATGCTGGTTAAGAATGCAGTGTTGCTGTTGCCCTCCACTGTTTAATCAGGGATGAAAAAAGCACATTTAGAAGAGGATGCATCTTTGCACTACTTGTGAGTTATTTTTTCCATCAATATCTGATCCAAGAAATTAGAAGCTGATTTTGTTGTAAGATTTTGTTGCTTTTTCCTGAACCTCCACACAGTTTCCTGGAGCAAAGGAAGGCTGAAGCTATCTTCAGTGCGTCTTCCTTCCTCCCCCCACGAATGATTCCACTATACCTTTTCCCCAGCAGCAGAACCAGCAAGAAATGCATCAAACATACATACATATCCCAACACTAAAGACCTCCAAACACTTCAACTCAACAGAAATAAAATTAAGGGAAGAGTCCAACATGCTCTACAGTCATTTGTATTTTCCATTCAATCACTGTTTAAAAAATGGAAAGGAGGTCTTATGAATACACTAACAAAATAATAGTCATAGTAAAATGAAACTGGAACAAAATTGGACCTAATGGGTGTCTTCTGAAGTAAGAAGGCCAAAAAAAGTGTATCCCATGTAATTCTCATCTTTTTGGCATGCATTTCCCCACTATCCTTTGTTTCACTTTATATAACAATTGCAAAGTAAGAACAACAAATATTCTGTTTAAATAATCATGTGCATGACATAAGAAGGAAGCGTGTAAAAAAACTGCTCATTCAAGTAAGTATCTTGATACGATAATACAAAGAAAAAGCCTACACTGTCCACCTCTGCAGAAGTAAAACTTTGAAAGGACACACATCATTATACACACAGGCCTCCTTTTATGAGAAAAATGAAGCGGCATCAGTCTCAGGTTCAAGGATAGATTACTTCAGCATTTTACAGTGACGTTGCCAAGAAGTAAGTAAATGAGCAAGAAGATTCTGGACAGCTTCATTGCTGCTATTTTAAGAGCATGGAGAAAAAAAAAAAAAAGGTGAAAAATCAAGTCATTTTCATGACAATTGCTACCACTTCTATGCAGCAGAGGCTGGCACTACTGTTAAGCGCCAGTATCAAGTCATATTGAGCACTGCATTGGAAGACAACTAGATCCAAGCTACTCCCTACCCAAATTTGTCACAATTCAGTCTTTGTTTTCACTGCACAGGCACCTCCAGTTGCCCAAGTCTGCATCTCAACTTCAACTGCTACCAGCCTTCCTTGCCACAGTTCACTGCACACCTTTCTTGCACACAATCTCTTGCCATCTTCACCTGTTAAGATCTGCACACCTCTCACACAAATGCCCTTCAGAGATTCTCCCAGCTCAGATGCTATATCCCAATTACATTTTTTTTCCTTCTCTTCCTCCCTTGCACAAGTGAAGCCTTTTCTTTTAACAGACAGAAAACAAAATTCCTCATATTTTCATTCCTCCAGTGGTTGAGGGATAGAGCAAGGAAAAGAGCAATCTGAATACCAAATCAATTAAGTGACATTTTCTCTCAATGGGAGACTTTCAGTACACAGTCTGAGAACTATCAGTCCAGTAGACAGTGGCAGATTGTGCACACCCTAACAGCTCTGCTTTGACATGGAAACTCAAATTTTCCAGGAAGTACCTGTGCCCAACTGTTAGTCATCTGTGCTTTTCTTGGTAAAGTTATCTCAGCCAGCTCTTTCTTGGAAGCGCTGTTTTTCAAACCTGCACTTCTTAGGCCAGGAGTACTATACTGAGATTAAAAACCTAGTCATTGCATTATTTCAAGTGTCCACGTTACCCACTTCTATACGAATATGGAAATAAAAGGCAAGTAATACTTGTGTTTAAATAGCAGATTTCGGTTCAGCAATTCTAATTTAAAACAGAAAAAACAGTTAGTATTTTGCCAGTTTATGGCATTATTTCCACTCCGATAATCCCACTGGCTTATCTAGTGCAACTGTGCTATGTGCACTGACTCACTTCTTGTATTCCTTTCCCTTTAACATAGTATTAGCCATAAGTCTTATGATTATGCTTAGTTTTGTTTTGAAATAAGAACTATTGACTGCTAGTAAGTTTTAAGCTCTACACCAGAATTACTTGTAATTTTACTAATGAGAACAAATGCTTCATTCAAAATCGATTATATACAGCAAAACATGGCGAGTTTCATGTAGATCCACTTTTTTATTAAAACAGATTGAAACCATGCCAGAATAAGATCACAAGTAGAATATTAATACTCTAGTAATAAACACGGGGGAAACTAACCTTAATTGCAGCTTCTCTCAAGGCTTCCAGTCTCTGTCTGCTGCTTTCTTTCATATTTACAACATCTTTGTAATCACCCTGTAGAGCTCTCTGGAGGCCATGGATTGCTTGAAAGACCGAGTTTTCACTTTCATTTAACTCCTTTTGGAAAATTTCAAAGGTATGCACCTGAAAAAGTTTCTCTTCATCTGACAGTCCTGCATCCTTCTCAACTGCTCTTATAGCATTTTTTAGTTTGTTGAGAACAACGTTCTTTTGGCGAAGAAGACCAGACAGTTTTCTGCAGCTCTCCAACACCCACTGCTTCCTCTGAGCGATAACAGCTCCTTTCCCACGGTGCAGCTTTATTGCATGCTTCACTACATCTTCATGTTCTGCAGGATTCGCTAACTGGCCACAAGGCAGTGAAACCAACGTCCACAGGGAAATAAATCCAGTCGCCTTCATTCTTCACGTTTTATTGCTGTTGGGAGAAACTGGTAATCCAGAACTGCTCAAAGCTTTCTGCTACTTGGTTTCTGCATCTCCAGCACGCATACCATCCTGCAAGATAGTACCAATCAGTCATCAAACATGATAATGTTGGGCCATTAGGTCAAACAAATGCAGAAAAAAACCTAAGACTGCACCCTACACTACAACCTTCAACAGAACGTATATGGTCTCCTTCAGTCAACAGTTACCAAAACCAAGAAACAGCCCAAGGTTATTGACAGATTTTTGTTTTCCCCTCAACTATTCTCTAAAGATCATCTTGTTTTAAAAAGACTGAATGGAAAGCGTAGTCATTTCACACAGTGGTCACCTGCACTTGTTACATGAGAGAGAAGCCATTAAAAATATTAAGCCACAATGCCATAGGCTGTACTTCAACCTAGCACTAGAACTCGTTATTCTTACCTATCAGTAAACCTCTTGGTTTTTTCCAAACCTATCCTAAAAAATTGTATCAGAACCATTTGTTATCTATACAGCCTCAGAAGCGTTAACACACAAATATACAAAACGTAATGAAAAAATTTTAACTGAAACAGATTACATTATAAATCATACTTTGTGAAAGAAACATTTCCACAGCAAACAAATGACAGCAAAACTTCCTGGACTTCTGAGCACTACTAGTTTGGACCAAAGATATTCACCTGAAAGGCCGCATGGCCTTGAGGCATTTTACTTCAAGGCTAATTATTGATCCTCATGATTTTAAAATAGAGTTATAAGAACATTAAAAGTAAGATCAACTCATTCATAAGTTCATTTCCCAGAAGCTACTTGAAGATCTGTATTTAAACTGCTGTATTTGCTTTTAACACCAAGCAGGATAGAATTTCAAAACTAGGAACGAATTTCCTTCCCTCAGATCCTACAGGAAAACACTGACCTTGTTGTCAAGTAACAAAGTTACATTTTCTTAAAAAAAAAAAAACCCAACAAACAAACACAAAAATCCCGCAAAACACCCACACACCACAAAGCTATACCTAGTAATGTATAATTTGTTTTGTACATACATTTACCACTGAAGTATGACATTCTAACAACATGCAACACACATTATGTGTTAGCAGATCATCAATAGGGCAGGTATTTGCGTAAAACTTTAGCTGCAATCTTGAGCTCTGGGCCAACAGCCTTAGTCAGGAGCTAACATATGGACATAGTCATCTGGTAGCAGTCTGCCTAAGAGAGAACCTTCTTTCCCTGTAATGTAGTAGCAGCCACAATCACAAGCATCCAAACCAGCCATCGTCAATATATAGACTAGGAAATGATGGCAAGCACAGCCATGCACTACCTTCGTTTTTAAAATGCCCTCCCATCTCTGTCTCAGAGAGAACTGAGGAAACCCATCTGTGTGTTGGTTTACTTCTTTTCAATGCATGAATACAAGCCAAAGTGTTTAGCTATCAATAGTTGACTATGGGCTATGGTTTAACAATGTGAAGAGCTAAAACATTTAAAATTAAGAACAGAAAGTGTAATCAAAGTAGCAAAAGCGTATCTCCATCACTCTAGTTTCAATAAAACAATAAAGTAGAAATATTTCAGAACTTTGATAAAGCTATGGGGTTTACTATTTTTAAGAGATAAGGGAAAAATAACAATACCCCCGACCTGGCAAAATTCTAGAGTCTATTTAAGGAAATATTTCTTCATGTATACAAAGTAATACTCTTCCTGTTCAACATGTTTGGGGGAGAGATTTTGCTGAAGGTATCACAACCTATTCCTGCAAGAAAGGGGGAGAAGAAAACACCTAGTGTACGTTGAGGCTTCCATTCACAGGGAGGCGAGCGAAACACCACGCTGCACATGAAGACACGTAACTAAATTCTGAGCAGATTCATACAAGTAGGTTCGCCCACTGCTGCACCGTGTAAACTCACCGCCATGGCACAGACACGGTACCGGTTCTGTTCCAGTAACGGTGTTTTTTCAGCTGGTTGGCAAAAACTCTTTAGAAAAGTGGCACCTGGGGCAGCGCTCAGAAGCTCTCGATGACATCACGTATAAAAATATACGACGTGCTTCAGAGCGCAAACGAAGAGAGGGAAAAAAATCAAACCAACCCCACCACGCTCCTCTCCATGCACCATTAAGTACCAGACTAGAAGGAACTCCTGCCGTTGGGAGCCCTTTTTCAGCACGGCTTCTTTGCAGCAGAATGGCAGCTCCCCTTCCCGGTTCCTCCTTCCCGGGCCACCATTCCGTAGCACCGGATTCCACCCGGCTGCTCTTCGACCCTGCCGCCAGCCCTGCCCCCCTCTTCCGAAACCCCTGCGGGTC